GGGCTCCACGGAAACCGCTAACGGCCTGCCCCAAACCGCAAACAACCACCCTCCACAAACCCCACCAAAAAAATCTCCCAAAACCACACACGACCATCTACCCCCAAACCCCTCAACAACCTCTCAACCCCAAAAACAACCATCTAACCTCAAACAACCACCTCCCCCCAGACAGCCACCTCCCCTCAGGCCCCATAACCAGCCTCTCCCCAAACTCCTCAAACAACCTCCCCCAAACAACCACCTCCCCTCAAGACCCACAAAAAAACTTCCCCCAAACCCTAAACCGTCTCCCTCCAATCAACCTCCTCCCAAACCCACAACCACATTCCCCCAAACCCTACAAAAAAAACTCCCCCCAAACGACCACCTCTCAAACAGCCACCTCCCAACCCCACAAACAACCATCTCCCCACAAACCAAACCAAATCATCTGCAAAACAAACCAAAACCCCCTCATCTCTATATTGTACCAACACTCATCTCTTTTTTTCCCCCCTCCTCATTCTTCCAGCTGCAGAGTTTCACCCCAAGGCAATCCCAAGGATGGATTTCACAGAAGCATATTCTGACCGATGCTCAGCTGTGGGTCTTGCAGCCAGAGAGGGAAATGTTGAAATACTGAGGAAATTAATAAATCAGGGATACAGCATCGATGTTCCAGATAACAGGAGGTGGGTGCCAATCCACGAAGCTGCAGCCCACAATTCCAGTGAGTGTCTGAAGCTGCTCATTGATGCAGGTAAGGAAAATCTGGTGGGAAATAGTGTGGTTTTCTGCTTAATTACCCTGCCATAGAAAATATAAATGACATAGATTTATTATATTTACTCCTTTGGGAATTTCTGTGTGGTTTCATAGCTGTGGTAAAGAGAAATTGGCATGTTGTGGTTCGTGAGTGACATTTGAAAGTGGTGATAACAGCACATTCATGGATACTCAAATAGCTTTTAAAATAATATAAAATTTTATTAAAATAACTTGTGTTTTGTAATTCATTGCTAAATACCCTTTGTTTTCTCCTCATGCCCCTCTCTAGCTCCATCTGATGACTACATACACTCGAGGACCTTTGAAGGGTTGTGTGCTTTGCACCTCTCGGCACGCCATGGATCTGTGGAGTGTCTTCATGTGCTCCTGGAAGCTGGGGCTGACCTCAACAATGTCACCACTGAAGCCACCACCCCACTCTTCCTAGGTGACACCAGCTCTCCTGAAATGCCAAAACAACCCCTATTCTCCAGGTTTAAATTCACCAGAGCTCATTCACTGCCTGCCATGTTAGATACTTTTGTAGCTAAGTACCGGGTGTTAGAGCTGGAGTGAGTCTGGAAATTACCTGTTATTTATGGATAAATCTGGTTCAGAGAGGGTTTTAAAACAAAGTTGTAGAATCAAATTGGTTTCCCACATCACCTTTTCTTTCTTTTTAGCACAGAAAAGCTCTAGGATATACAGGATTGCATCTGTCTGAGGCTGTTTCAAGTCTTTATGGTGTTTTTAATTCCTCCCTACTTCTTGATGTGAAAAGACTTACTTTTGACATTCTTAGTTTAGCAATTATGGTCCATTACTTTTGCATTTTTTCTATTATTTATACTGGACATAATTAAATGCTTGAAACTTCTGTTACTGTGAATCCTCAGAGTCTAAATCCTCTGGCTTCCTTTTGTTTTTTTTAAATTCCTGTTCTACTGAAGCTGTTGAAAATAAACATACAGAGGTTGTGAAGTTTCTGCTCCAGCATGGAGCAAATGTGGAAGGTCCTCATTGTTGGTCTGGATGGAATTCCTTGCACCAAGCAGCTTTCCAGGTAACCTGTAAGCACATCACATAATTTCCTTGTAACTGGTGTATTCTGAATGATAATTTATCTTTCTTTGCCGTTTTGCCTATAATTTCTCATACCCTACCCTAGCAGTCATAAAGGTTATACTTAGAAATGTGTTGACTAAATGGTTCTAATAAACTCATTTATTACCATTTGTATCATGTTAAATGGGAAATGTGATAAATCAATTTAAGCTTGTCTGATTTCTTTCACTGTTTGTTTTTCAATGCCTGTTTAGAATATTGAATATATTGGGTTTTTTCTTATTTCAGTTTGCAACATGTGGGGAAAATTAGATTATGTCAATTCCTCGCTTTTCTGTTGGTTAAGAATAAAACTATTTATTTCAGGGTTCCACTGAGATAATGAAAGTACTTCTGGAGAAAGGGGCAAGCAAGAACTATAGGGATGACTTTGGAATTACACCTCTGTTTGTGGCTGCTCAGTATGGCCAGCTGGAGAGCTTACGACTGCTTGTGTCCCATGGTAATTATGGTCCTTTATTTCCCTTTTTCAACTTGCATCAACTCGCACTAGGTACAAGTTTAGTTCTGCTCTTGCACGTCATAATTTCAAATTTTAGGTGTTTTTACCTTATTGCTGTGGAAAACCTGTTGAGTTTGAAGTCACCCTGTGAAAAATTATTACTGGTGAACATTTGTTTTTATTTTGTGTCAGGTGCAGATATCAACTGCCAAGCCAAGGACAAAGCCACTCCCTTGCTGATTGCTGCACAGGAGGGACACTTGGAGTGTGTGAAACTGCTGTTGACAGCAGGGGCAGATCCAAACCTCTACTGCAACGAGGATAACTGGCAGTTGCCCATTCATGCAGCAGCTGAAATGGGCCATGCAAAGTAGGTGGTGGAAATGACACTCAGACAGAAGATTCTGATTACACAGATCTGATCCCCAAAGAGGAAGTTCAGGAAGAAAAATGAGTGTTCAAACTGATCTGTTGTTTAGAAGTCCTAATTGTTTTCATGTTTTAAATGTCTGTTAGTAGTCTCTTTCCAACTGACAGAGAGTAGATTTAGGTCCAATATGAGCTAAAAATTCTTCCCTGCGAGGGTGGTGAGGCACTGGCACAGGTTGCCCAGAGAGGCTGTGGCTGCTCCATCCCTGGAAGTGTTCCAGGCCAGGTTGGATGGGGCTTGGAGCAACCTGGTCTAGTGGAAGGTGTCCCTGCCCATGACAGGGGGATTGGAACTGGTTGAGCTTCAATGTCCCTCCCAACCCAAACCAGTCTGTGATTCTATGATTTTTAATTCGGCATCTAACTTGGATTTGATCCATATCCTAATTAGTTTAGAGCGTTTTCCCAGTGCTGAACCAGATACCAATTCACTCCGTAGCCATATTACTTTTCTGTTTAAAAATATAATTAACAATGCTTTATGCATGACTTGAAAGCTGCTAATTACAATTATATTCCTTACTATTATGTAGCAGAATCAATCATGGGCAAATATTGAATGAGCTGAGCCAGCCAGAAAATCAAAGCCACAAAACAGATCCTTTAATCCTTCCAGAAACACATTTGTAGCTTTGCCCAATATCACTCACTTGCACAGCAGAAAGCCAAGAGTGGAGGGAAGTTTCCAGAGCAGAAGGGCACTGGAGAGAAGGATGTCTCAGCAACGCCATGATTTGTACTTGCATGACAGCACTGAAATATATTAATGATAATACATAGCTAGTGACCCCTAAACAGAACCAGTAAGTTCCAGTAGGAAAGGAACTGGTGTTTGTCACTAATGTGAATTTCTGTTTCACAGAACTATCTACTCATTTCATTTACAACTCACATTTCCAGTTTGCTTCCAGACTTCATACAAGCCTGGATTTAATGCACAGCGGTACTCTGTTGCTGTGAAAAGGTTTGTTGGCTAATAGGAAATAGCTGTCCCTGGTTTGGATTAAAATATTTATTTCCAGCCTAAATCCATGCCAAAGCACAATGTGTGTCATGGGAATTATAAAGGTTGTTGTAGGCAAACTCAGTGGTAAAAAACCAGGATTTTCTTCCAAAGTTGCAATGACCATAGGAAAAATGACCTTGTTTTTAAAATGTATCATTGCATAACATCACAAAGTAGTGGTTTTAAATATTTGCAGGATACTAGAGCTGCTCATACCAGTCACTGATCGGCTTTGTGACAAAGGCAAGGGCAAAGTGAGCCCCGTGTATTCTGCAGTGTATGGTGGGGATGAAGAGTGTTTGGAAATGTTACTCAAACAAGGCTTCAGCCCAGATGCTCAGGAGTGCCTTGACTTTGACTGCAGATCCCCCATGTGCATGATCTTCCAAAAAGAGTAAGTAAAACCTCTCATATTTTGAAACTACTCATAATTGTATCAGCTTGAATTTATCTTAGTTTAAATGTGTGGCTTCCCACCTTCCTCCCTCAACTGCTCCCTCAGTATTTTTCCAGAATTCTAGTTAGTTCTCCTTTTGCAAACACTCCTCCTTGGGAATAATATTAATGCAAAATCCTGTTATGTGCTGCTTTAAGAAAAACATCGTCACTGAAAGGTTTTAAATCTTCTTGAAACTCAGGTTCTAACAGAGTATTTCGTGTACATGGATTGAAATTTATGGCTTATTTGCTGCTATTTAAGTTCATGAGGTTTGTTAGTAGTGAATTTAACTCATCAAAAGTTGTCTTTAATAATCCTTGGACGTTATTTTTCCCCTTCTTTATTATTATATAACAAATAATTTAGGAAGGGATGCAGAGCAGGTAATTATTAATGTCCTGTAAATGAGGCAGGTAACATATTTCACCACTTCTGTGAAGTAATGTGCAATCACTAACTAGAAAGCAGCACACTAATGATCATAATTATCAGTCATCATCTCATTTGTTCTCAGGTTACCTTGTTGTAATGGATAACGATAAATGAATTTGAGTTAAACATTTTAAATGGTGTATTTTTTCAAACAGAGGAAATACAGCTGGATATAAAAAGTGGTAGATGCTTCCTGAGGAAAAACTAACAGGATGTCCTGTCCCTTCTCCTGTTCCCAGGTATTTTCAGTTCATTGATGTTCTCCTGAAATATGGGATCACCCTCCGTGGGATTAATTTGGGACACTGCCTGTGCCACAAGAAGTTTGCTTTGTTTCAGCACTTCCTGAAGTTGGGCTGTTCCCTCCCCTCAGGGGATGAATTACCAGACTTCATCCACTACAGCCATACAGTGCAGAAGGAATACAAGGAATGGCTGCCCTCCCTGCTCCTGGCAGGCTTTAATCCCATGAATTTTATGTGCAAACTGTGGTAAGCAGAGAACCTCATCTTGTTTACTTAAATATCCTGTGTTAATCTGTGCAGTTATTATTTATCAGTTCTTCCACAGGATGGTCCTTGTTAATCAGTTGCCACAATCAGGAATGGGAGGGGTTGTGGAAAGTCTGAAATAAATCATTCACACTGGAGTCAGTAAAACAATTTGATTTGGGAAGAAAGCCAGAATGGGGATTGCTTTATCCCTGCCTTGGAGAAAGGCATCGCTTCCCAACTTTGATACCAAACACCTCTTATTAGCCCCCAAATTTAGCTGCAAATTTTGTGTGCGTGTAAAACTGTGATGCAGCAATGGTAAGAAGAATTTCAAAGAGAGAGAAATAGGTCAGGAGGGATGGGATATAAGTGGGAAGTGAAGCTGGGCGAAGGCTGGGAGGAGAGGAAACGGATGCACTTTGAGATTGTGTTAAACAAAACAATGTGGCAAAAATTCCACTCTGATTTTTTTAATTTAAGTTTTTCCACATACCAGTAACAGCTTGGAGATGTTTTACATTTAATTTGGCACTACAGAATTAAACTTATATTTGAAGTTTTGAAGTATTTGTGCTTTCTGCTGGTTGTAGTAAATACACTACAAGTTTGCAACTTAGTGACTGACCAAATTTCATGTCCTTGTTGACATGATGCTTTTTGGTGTTTTATTCCATAACCCATGACTACTTTTATACCAATCCTCTCTGATTTAACACTTGTCACACCATAATTTACACAACTAACTTACTCTTGAGAAGAAATGGAGGGAGATAAAATGACATTAGTAAGGGCTTGTGCTGTTGGAATTCCTTTGGATGTCTGTGTAATGGCTTTCTGTTCCTGGGCTTTGGATGAAGGTTGTTATGGATTTGTTAGGAAACAGTGGAGCTTTCTACATGCTGTTCTCACTGTTACATTTATGCTGTTGTGTAAAATGGTATTTTAGGGGAGTTTTTGTTACACAGGATTTTCTCTGCCAGCGAGAATGTCCTTAATTTCATCCTGGAGTTCATGAACTGGAGTAGACTTCCTCCAGCTGTGGAGCAACACCTTTCCCAGTACAAGGAGAAGTTCACTTGGACTCCCAAGAGCCACTTTGGTAAGCAATACATGCAGAAGATAGTCTCTGTGTATGCCAACTTCCAGGCTGCAAGTGGAGATTTAAGGGAAGATGATCAATGACTTAAGTTACGTTTTTCTAGACATTATCCCATGGATTTTAGTTTTTTAATTGGATTTGTGTTTCCAATGAAGTGTCATTCCTGTTCTGTAAGCATTGGGCAGTAATTAAAATACACACCATAAAAATCTAATGCAATCAAAATGTGGTTAACCCAAAAGATTTAGTCATTGATTGTCCAGGAAGTTTGATGGGAACAATTAAATCAGATTCCAAAAAGTAGCTTTAACACACAGGTCGTGCATTGTGTGACTATAAAGCTGTGCTCAGGTGTTTTTTAGTCTCTTTTCAAAGCAAATTCTTCTTTAAAGGGTTTTAAAACCTCCAAGTGATAATGTTACTTACTAATATTTCCTTTGTAATGTTTGAAGTGAATGAGGATGTTTTTGGAGTTAAAAAAATTAGGGTTTATTTGGGGAAATTGAGATGAAGTTGTTTCCTTTGCTATTATGTGTTTTAAGAGCATCCAGTAAAAGGAGGGTGGGGGGGATCAGTGGGGGCAAAGGAAAGGCAAAATGAAGGATTTGAGGACTGGCAACAGCCCTTCACAGTGGAGAACTCTGTATCTTGTCTGCCAGAAACAGATCCAGGGATCTAGACAGACCTGGGATCCAGGTAGCCTCAGGCAAGTGATGCCATCCCATGGTGTCCTGCTCAGCGTTTGACTTGGGTTTTCATTTTCCAGCCTTCATTCCTTCCCTGTCTCATCTGTGTCGCCTGGAGATCCGTTCCCTGGTACGGAGCGAGCGCCTGCGATCAGCCTGCGTTATCCGGGAATTGCCGTTGCCAGCTTGCCTCCAGGACTACCTGCTCTACTTGGATGTGCTGCAAGTCCATGCTATCCCAGACTCGGAGGATTCCCTGGGACAGGGAGAGGAGGGAGCTCCTTCTACCAGTCACTCCGTGGCTGAGGATACAGAAAGGAGGGACACCAGTAACACCAGTGCCTGAAGTCTGCAGGTCTCATAATGGGAATGAGACACGGGAGGAGGACTGTAAATATCCACTGTGGTTTTATACTCTTATCTAGAAGTTTGCTACGAGTTCTGTGATTTACTTGTTTAAAAAGTCTGTTGTAGCTTTCTAAGTGAACAATTTTTTGTGGTTTCTTTTAACTCTTAGGGGGTAAAATGAGCTTGTTCAATGAACAGAGCTTATAGAGGGGTCAAAATCTGTCGGTCAATGCTTTATTCCAAGTACAGCATTTCCCAAATGAAGGTCAAGGAGCACAGTATTGTATCAATGATATGAATTCATGTATTGGGAAGGGTTCTAGCTGAACCAGAGAAAGGCAAATAACATAAGAAAGGAAATTGTTTGCTGAAGGAACAGTGATTTTCTTCTTTTTCCTTCCCTTGGTCGTCAATATTTGGTGGAATGTAGGAGGCTGTGCCCAGTTCCTCCCTTTGTGTAGCCCCCAGGCAAGGCACGAAATGTCCCCACAAGCTAACCAACATGTGTCAACAAAAATCCCTCCTTTGAAGTAAGAAAGGACCCAGTGTCCTCTGAGGCCAGGTGGCAGGGCCAGGGCAGGGACATCTCAGGAAGACAGCAGCACTCCTTGTTCTGGGAAAGCCTTTGTCCTGCAGAGGCGAAGCCAGTGCTGCTGGATCACTGGTAGTAGATGCTGAAGGCATGGAGGATGTACAGGAAGGTCGTGAGGAAGGCAAAGAACTGCATGAAAGGAAGAAGAGCGATAGTTGGAGTCAACTGGAAGAGTCTTAACCCCACGTCCTCCCAGTGTTGTCAACCTGGTGAAGACTCTGAGCCTAGAGCTCTCTCCAGCCTCAAAGAAGAGGTGAAGCCCCCAGCTTTTCCCAGGAGCAGCAACACGAGGCTATCCATGAACTGGTGGACCCTGGGAAGCCCACACTGGCTGCACAACGCAACAGAGGCGAAGAGTTGAAGCTCTGCCCAGTGTGACACTGCTGAGCTTGGGATGGTTCTGCCATGGCTTTAATATTTGCTGTTGCATCTCCCAAGGGGAATTGTGGGTTCTCCAGCCTGCCCGGGTTGTTTTGAACTGACTCACCGATGCAGCACTGTTGAGCTGGTAGTGGAGTGTCCCTTGGGGGTCAAACTCAGAGTAGATGGTCGCATTGGCTTGCAAGACAGCAGCGCTCAAGTACAGAATGGCTGTGGCACCGTGGTACAAACTGTCCTGCAGAACAAGCCATGTGTGAGTCTGACACAGCTGGGACCAAACCCTCATGCCATGCTGAACCCTCCCAGGCAGCCACACAGCAGTGGTGGCACAGCAGAACTTCCCCAGAATTCCCAATTGAGGCCCAAGGAAGAAAGGACTAACTAGCCACCAGCCACGCTGGTCTTGTGCCCACGCTGCTGCTGCCCCTGCTTACCAGCACTTTCCAGTTCTCGCTGTTCCTGTGGAAGCCGAGGAGGTAGCCTAAGAGGAGCAGCAGGGAGATGAGGCAGGAGCTGAGGGACACATACATCACCCATCCCTGCTGCAGCGGGTAGGAGACAGCGGTAGCAGCAACAAGGATCCACACCCAAGTCCCACAGAACTGCCAGAACAAACAGGCGCCTCTGATGAGTGTGGGATGAGGGAAGTCCCTTCTCTCCAATCCCTCCTTGCCTCCCTCCAGCCCAGCCACCAGCAGAAGGCCTGTGTCCTTTCCAGAGCATCCTGGCACAACCAGCACTGCAAGCCGGCACCAATTTACCTCAACACTCTGGGAAATACTTCAAAACATTTCCTACAACAGGGAAAGGTTTGCTGCCCCGTTCCGCACAAGGAAATGGTCTGGAAAAGCCAGAAAATGTGCTTTTATCTGGGAAAGGTGAAAGGCTCAGCCCTGCCCCTCGTTAAATCTCCAGGGCTTGAAATCGCAGTATGAGGAAGTCTCTTCAGAACTCACACACCAACCCAGGGCAAGTCGCCTGTTCAGGGTCCACCCAAAATATTTACCATGCACAAACAACACACAGGGTTATTGGGATGAGCTTCCACTGCTCAATGCCATCCCAGCTCTGGTGGGTGAACCCCCTGGGATTGCAGCGGGGAGCACAGGCAGTGACTGTGCCTGTGGAGCAGGAGTGGTATGGGTCGCCAGCCCCATGCTACATGTCAAAGTACACCAGCTGTTATCTCAGCCATTTCCAAGGGGTGCCCTCTGGACCCGTAAGGATTTGCAAGTATCATGGAATGTCATACATTAGAAGACACCCAATCGCCTTCAACCCCTGGAAAGACTTGATATAAAGAGAGAAATTCCCTTGATTTTTTTTCAAGCAATTTCTATGTGATAACTAGAGCTGCTTCTGCCTAGGAGCCAACAGCTCTTCAGCCTTTTCCAGTCCCACAGCATCTGGTGACCCTCACACATGCTGGAGTATATCTTGTCCTCCAGCTGGTCCAAAAACCCTGTCACGAAGACCACCTATGTGCATCCAGTGTAAGCTCAAAGACAAGATGTTACTTCCCATTAATGCTGTCTTCAGGATCACTTGGGGGGGCTGCTCCCACAGTTTTAGCCGTTAGTGCTGCACCAGAGCTCGGAATACTCACTATCTCCGGTAGGATGAACGCGTAGGGGATGGTTTTTAGGACAGCAATTCCAGAGGGCAAGGCAGGCTGCGTGGAGGTCGCAGAGGGACCCACCGAGGCCATCTCTCCTCAGCTGGCAGCAGGACCGCTCCGGCTCGGCTCGGCTGGCGCTCGCCTGTCCCGCGCCGCTCCCGGGCGGCGTTTTAAGGGACACACCCGCGGGGACGTAATCGCACGAACCAGCCCAAGCTGGCACGGCGCCGCCGCCTCCGACCGGAGGAGCCCTGGGCTCCACACACCCTGCTGCCAGCACTGGGATGGTGTGTTGGCATCCATCCAAGGTGGGATTGGGAGAGCACCGGGACCACAGCCCTGCCACGCAATTCAAGGTGTTTGACCCTACACCGGGCAGGAATGTTTCCTGCAAAGAATTATCCTTGGCACACTTCCAAGCCCAAAATAGTTTTGCTTCTACTGTTGTTGCCTCCTCCCCTTTCTCTTCAGGTTTCTGTTCACTACAGGCCCCTCCACACCCTCTAGGCACATCCAGCCTTTGAAAACTGGCAGGCAAACAATTTTTATGGACAACACACACCAGAAAGAAAGGAGGGTTTGCCCCTGTGCTGTCAAGTGCCTAGAAAGGCCTGAAGGACAGCTGCTGGGATTGCTGCTGGGATTTGTGCTCCCTGGAAGATGTACTTTGGACTGGGGAAGCACTCACTGTTTCTTCCAGCAGACTCTGCCTAGCCCCAGAAGTCACATAACTGGTGGGATGAAGGGATGAAGGTGGCATCCCTGCCTCATGGCCCAGAGAGTACAGAATGACCCCACTAACTTAAGCAGTGTGCTACAGCCAAGTAGGACATTGTCCCAGTAAGATATCCTATCTCTGTGTTAGGAGAGGCAGGTGATGCTCCAGGAACTTGGCTTCTACGTCAAGCTCTTGCACAACACAGACCAAAGATAAATCCGTTTCTTGTTGTCTGAGCCCTCCCTAGGCTGAGGGAAGTGCTTTGTGGCATTTCTGGATGCTCCAGTTTACGGATGCTCCAGGGGGAGCTGGTTTTGGGCTCCATTCAGTGTGCCATGGTCTTTGAAAGATCTTGGTTTAAATCATTTGCCACCTGACAAAACTAGTGCCTGGGCTTAAATCCAGGTGTGACCCAGTGCCCACCTGCCTCATCAGACATAGTGGCAACATGCCCATTGCCCTGCAGGAAGCATCAAGACACTCCAGCACGAAAGAGAAACAGGATTAATAACATCCCCCTGGGAATGGGCAGCACACAGAGCCTGTGGTCACAAGCTGCTCAGGGTCAGCACAGAGGGAGCCATCCCAGGGGCAATGCAGTGTGTCCTGAATTCTAACCAGCTGTTATTTGTGTTAGGTCAGGCACATTCCTGTGACTAACCCAGCCTTGTCCTGAGTGGGGGAGAAAACCAGGCAAACAGTCTAAATACAGAGCAACCTGCTGTCCACTGGTTGGGCAAGAGATGGTTTTGCCCTAACCTGACTGCCCTTGCTCAGCAGCATTCTTAAGGATCACTGCTATTTCCCTTCCTTGCTTCCAGCCTGCTGGGGAACTGTGACAAAGAGCCTTTTGTTCCCCGATTAAAACAACACAAAATTAATTGGAACCTCCACAAGAGGAGAAAAGTGCTGCCTCAGCTTTGGCAAAATATGGCTACAACAGGTAGAAACAGACAACCAGAACTTTGTGTAATGGGTATAAATTGAAAGAGGGGAAACGTAGATTAGATATAAGGAATACATTTTTTACTGTGGGGGTGGTGAGATACTGGCTCAGGTCGCCCAGAGGGGTAGTAGCTGCCCCAACCCTGGCAGTGCTCAAGGCCAGGCTGGATAAAGCCTTGAGCAACCTGGGCTGATGGGAGGTGTCCCTGCCCAGGGCAGGGCTAGATGATCTCTAAGGTCTATTCCAACCCCTTAACATTCTATGACTCTATGATAATGTTGCGAAGTCAAACATTTAAAATACAATTTCCTTTAGTTACACTGATAAAATAATTTTAGTCTCTCTCAAAATGTCAAATATGTTAAAATATTCATTATAACTTAGTACAGAGTCTTCTTGGTAAGAATTTATCTGCATTCTTCTTCTAATTGTTCTTTGCTAATCCATTCATTCCCCAGGATTGTCTTTCCTCACTTCTCCCAAGAAATCATAAGCCAGCTCAGAGATATCAAAGGCTTTGTGAGTGTTTTCTGAGGACAGTAGGTACTGCAGGGCACTGTCCATCTTCTGGCTCTTTCTCAAGAAGTCATGGATCACCTTCCAGCGAGATGCTTCCGACTCTTCCTCAGCCCACTTGTAGCTGGGGAGGAACGTGGACTGGAGCAGAGGGAAGACAGAATCATGGTACACCAGGACAAACGTGGACTTCAGGAATTCTTGATCTCTCTGCAGAGAACAGTAGTTGAAAATACTTCAGTGCAAACATGATGCTGCCAAGGACTTCTCCAGAGTATTATACACAGGGAAAAAACCCAATCAAACTAACTCCTAGGATAACATCTGTTATCTTGGATAAGCCTATAGCAGGACATTAGCACAGCAGATCTACAGTAGTTCAGTCTAACTGATCTGCTCTCCAAACCCTGCCAGCATTCCCACAAACCATGACCCCTTTGCTTGTGGGATATTCCTATTTCTTCCTTAAACCCAGTGCCACATCCTCCCTGCCCTGGAAGCCCAAATTCCAGTGGTTTCCCTGCTGAGAGAGTCACTCCGATGCTGCAAGGCTCAGCAGGAGGCGAGGCTGCCCCTGGGTGCTGTTGTTTCACACTGTGACAGGACATTCTGTGCACGGTGAGAATTATGTGCTCCCCTGTAAAGACCAGCTGGGAAAACCCAGAGACTAAGGATCAGCCTGGTCAATTATCAAACACGGGAAAGATCCCAACCACTTGAAAACTCCTTGACCATGGAGTGCTCTGCATCAAACGCTTCATGGTTTTGCAGATTTGGCAGCTTGGTGGCACAGGACCATGTGAGGGGGGAGAATTCAGCAGGCAGCAATCCTCCCCTGGGAGTGGCACATGACAATCAGGTAAAACTGGATGGTTCTGGGACACCAGGGAGTCACCAATTCCGTGCGCAGATCAGCTTTCCTTTTGGATCAGTGGCCATTCTGACTCAACAGCCCTTTGTTCTGTTTGTGTAAATGGGGAGCTCCCCTTGTGTGTGCACAGGGAATGAAATGTCCCACTGCTGCTCCAAGGAAGTCTTGGATTGAGAGCCAATGCCTTTCTCATTCATCTCCCTACAGCTCCTCTCTGCAGAGGACAGGAGGTAGGACAAGGTGCAGGTAAGCCTGGTGACAGCCAGTTCAGTTCTCCATGCCAAAATGAGGAATTACAGCTGTCTGGGAGATTTGAAGAATTTGGGGGCCATTTTCCAGGCGGACTGGAGCTCAGAGGTTGAATGAGGGAAGATGATTTTATGGGTGTACACAGCCTCTTTTGTATCCATGACAAGCTTTTATCAGTTGAATACTGGAAGCACATCATGACAGGGAGACACAGTTTGAATACAAACGTGTAACAACTTCCCTGTCAACAAATGAGGCAAAAAGTTACAAGTTCATTTAATTTTTCTTCTCCTGGTTTATTGGTATCAATCTGGGTAAGAAATGGTAAGAACTGCATTTGGCATATCTGTATTTTCTAAATAAATGTACAGTGAGAGGAAAAGCTAAGCATCAATAACACACAGAGCAACTAGCTCGAATTACACTGAATATATGGAAATAAACACCTGTAGTTATTACCTTCTCAGTTCTCTTCAGTGTCCTTTCTCTGTCTGCCCAAGCACTCTAAAATAAAATGTAAAATCAGACCAAGGCTGTGGAGAACAAAAGACCCCTCAAATTTTATCTAGAAATCCTGACAAGATAACATACCCGAAGCGCATCCATCAGGTCTGACTGATCCAGGAGTTGAGGGAAAGTTGCTAAAACAGGATTACAGATTAAGTCTGAAACAAAAACCAAGCACATTTAAGGCTCGGGAAGAAACAGGATAGGTTTTAAGGTATTGGCACACCCAGGTATTCAGTACATCTGTGCAGATTATTCCAAAAGGAGAATGAGGTGTAACAGTTCTCTGGGGAGCAGGGAAGGCTGGAAAGCTCCCTAACAACTGAGTTCTCTGACTGTAGCCAACAACAGCTGGGACACAGTTAAACCAGGAGAGAAGACACACCAAAACCAGCTGCTGGTTTACTGGGAGAGCCAGCAAGCATGAGACCCTCCTGATTTACCTGACTGAGGTGTTTCCCTCATTCCTGCACCTGTCTTTTCCATACACAGCTGCAGTTGTGCTGCTTGATTTGGATGTTATGGATAAACACACTTTGGTTCCACCTTAACCTGGTGTGTCCTGTGTGCCTTTTCAAGAGAACTGGGTAACAAGTGGCACAGTCAATTTACCAAATGGAGCACAACATCACACTGCACAGGTGTCCTGTGTGCTTTTTGGGTCACCTCCAGGCAGCGGCCATGTCAAAGCTAGACAGGCAGAGCTGCCTCCCCTGAGGGGCAGGAATCAAAGCACTCTGCTCCTGTCATTATTTTAATTAATGAGATCGTGGGTAAGATTGTAAGTGACAGCAGAATTTCAGTTCAAGTGTTGTCTTTTTCTTGTGATTTCAAATATTTCATGTACGCTGTTGTCTCTTCACCTTGAACCTGATGGGAAGTTTGGTACACACAAACCATTTCAGGGAAGCAAGCCAGAACTGATGGCTGGAGTGAAATATAACAGGCATTTTAAGTTGCCTATTTCTAAAGTGGTGGTTGATTTTGAAATAATGGAAATCTTCATTAATTACACAGCTACCAGGACAACTTATGTGGTAGGTCCTTTCAATCATTCTAAATGAAGTCTGAATCCAAAGGCATGTGATTTAACTCCAGGGCCTGATCTACCATCCTAAGTTGTGCAGATCAAATCAAGTAAGTGTGGCAGTTCTCACCTGGTCTTTAAAAACTAAGCATTTCAGTTTCTGTGCTAAGTTTATTAATTAAATCATTTATGAAAGGGTCTGGATTTCAGCTACTGAAATAGGCAGGACGGAAAGTAAAGTTGAAGAAAATCAGGAGTTAAAAAGGGAGTTAAGTTCTGGGCACCTCTGAAATGAACCTGTAACTCGTGCTTAAGTATGGCTAAAGATTGTCAGCTAAAAATGTTAGTAAGTGCACAAGGAAATTTATTTGCCACAGGAACATATGATTCATAATTCATTATGGGGAAGAGACAGGAGAAAACACAAGAAAATCATTTTCAGTACCAACATAAATTCACCTCTAGTACAGCTAAATGTAATTTCCCCATATTTCAAACTGAATTTAAAATGGAGAAGGCTATAAACTATTATAGTTCTGCTGAATGAATAAGATAAAGTTGCAAAATCAGGGCAAGACACTGAGTTCTAAAACCAGAACTTTTCCACTTCTGTCTCTCCCTACTGTGCTAGTGAGTAAATAATGATAAAAACAGAGAGGATGACTTAGCCCCAATGACAAAACCATCTCAAACCAAAAGGAGACTCTGCAGAGTCATCCTCTGGCTGAACCTGATCTTTGTCCAGATCTCACCTGTGCTCTGTGTGCTCATCCTGTCCTTCAGGAGGGCATCACCAAGGATTTGCCGATAGAACATCAAGAGATGGATGTGGCACACGCTCCCAACTAAGGTTTCAGGTAGAAAACTATTGGGAAAGTAAAGAACAGCAGTTAAGTTTTTATGGAAAACTGCTCCTAAGAGACTCAATCACGAAACCTGAATGACAGCTCCATGGAGATTATTACTAGCTCTTGCTGGCATCTCCATGAATCCATGACAGTGGCCATAGATACAGCTACAAGGGCCTAATTCGGGCTGTTGCAGTTTTTCATCTTACCTAAACTCTCTTTATTTATTTTCAACAAAATAAGCATCAGAGATTGACTACAACATGCAAGTGGCACAACCCTCAGATTTTTCCAGTCAGTGTTCCAGAGAAGGGGAACACTGTGTATTTCTGGGACCATTCTAGGCTGTCTGGAATAGCCTTTCATTTTATGGCAGCACATGCCAGTACTTACTTCAGGATGTCTTTTGACTGCACACTTGGTGACCTCAGTTTCACCAGCAGCACAGGCTGTTTTCTGAATGTCATGAACTGATGGAAAACCCCACTGCCTGCTGGAGAAATAAACACCCAAGATGGAATCAGCTTTTTCGAGAGAACATTCGGAATTATCTTTAAAAAATGGATATTTAAATGGCTTGGGAACTCCTTAGAGTAGTGTAAGTGCTAAGCCTTGCACCACACAGCCAAGGGCAGGTAAAGAAATACTTAAACATGCAAAATGAGAACACCCAAACCCAAACCAGCCTGTGGGAACTGTTGGAAAAGAGGGACAGCATTTCATTAGTTTAGGAGAAACCACACCTCTTCTTGATATTGATGGGTCAACCTCAACCCCTCTCTCATAAGGAGTTCCACCACTCAGGAGCAGCTCATACATCCTGCAAAAGAGCAGCAGAGGAAAAATAAAGACATTTAAGCACAAAATAAGACATTAAGCACAACCGCTTTCTGAGAGAGCAAAACCTGATGTCTCAGAACCTGACACGGTCCCTGATTGTATGACCAGTGTTTCATATACAATGGCTGAACCCAGTTAAGCAATCAAACCGCAAATGGTAAATTTGAAAGCTGTATCATATGGGGAATTTAATTATTTGGGGGGATTTAATTCTATTGGGAAGTTAATTATTTTAAAAGCGATTAGCAACACTGACTCTTTTCCACAGCTCCAACAGTTTTCTTGTAAGAAATTGAATGACTGTTTCACTAAAATGTTTTTGAGTCATCCCTTTTAGATTTTACATATATGAAACTTAATCTGTAGGGACAACATTCGACTTAATAAAATAGGAAAACAATGTTAGAGATGAGATTTAGAAGAGATTTAGAGACTTATAGAATAGTAGAGGTCTCACATGGGTATTTCTTTGCCCCGTAATCCAGATAAATTCAGAATACACATCTATATCTACATATATTTGTTAAAAAACAAATATGTACACTTGATTATTCTTTCAGATCACTGAACTCATGAACTAATCATAAATCAGCTGCAAAATATAAGTTTATTCACACACTCCAAGTGCAGTAAAGAGATTCATTCACAACAACTCTTAATCTGACTGCAGGTGTTGGAAACTAATCTAATTTTTACAAGAAAAAAGGGATATGCAGCAAAGTACACATAGAGAAGAGCCAGAATCACAAAGGACTGGTCTGGATTCCATCTGCCCCAAGAGTGTGTAAGTATGAGAGATGAACTTATGGTCTAAAATAAATGTATGTACATAGGTGTGGAAATACAGAGAGAATGGGAAAACTTACTTAGAGGGAACAGGCATTCCATTGGAAGTAAAAAGCTTCAGGAATCCCCAGCCACAGCTCAGCTCTCCTCTTTCACCTGTTAACTAGGAAAAAAAGAGAAATGTCAATGATTTGAGCAGCTGACCCAGAATGAGTAACTGAACCACAATTAATTACAATAATCACATCAAAACGGTTGTGGTTACCCTCATTTCCTCTTTCACCCATGTGCATTTGAAAATCACAATCTGCCTTCTATTAGGGTGGTTTTTCTGGGCTTTACCATCTATTGTACTTTTCTGCAGCATATTCCAGGCTGCATCTGTGTCAACTGAAGATAAAACCACTGTCCATACAGTTAAAGCTATAGTTTTTAGCAAAAGCTTAGTTTCCAAACTGTACAGCACAGTAATCTGAAACAAGTCCCAAAGACAGAAACACTGCAGGAGTGAAGAGAGACTTGGTCCTTTGTGATCACCTTACATGGTGTCTTTGGCAGCCTGACACAAGTTATTTCAGTATAATTAAAGGTACTTTCATGCCCAGTAGTCAGACAGTCTTTTATTCTCTAATTAGGGAATCCCAGAATGGTTTGGGTTGGAAAGGAGCTTCAAGACCATTGCATTCCACTCCCTGCCATGGGCAAGGACACCTTCCACTAGACCAGGTTGCTCCAAGCTCCATCCAACCTGGCCTTGAACACTTCCAGGGTTGGGACGGCTACAGCTTCTCTGGGCAACCTGGGCTAGTGCCTCACCACCCTCACAGGGAAGAAATTCTTCCCAATAACTAAACCTCCTCTCTGTCAATGTGAAGCCATTCCCCCCTTGTCCTGTCACCACAGGCCCTTGTAAAAAGTCTCTCCATCTTTTTGGTTCCTTCCAGGCAATCCTATTCTCTAATTAGGGATATTCTGTAATCCTATTCTTTAATTAGGGACAGCAGGTTCCCTTTTTCACCTGCACTTGGAATGATTTCTGACTCACACTGCGAACGTAAGTGATGCCAAGTTCAAATAATATCCCAATGTCTGGCAACAGAGAGTTGGACCTGACAAAACAGTCCCCATCAAGCAAGCTGGGTAAGATGCCCATCACCTAATAAAGAGGGAAAGAAAAAGAAGTTAATGTACCTACAAAAAAAATAAAATAAAAAATAAAATCTTGATTTTTAAAGGCCATCAGCACATCTCTCTCCCACACAAGATCTCAGCCTCAATCCCACTGCATATAAAAATGAGAAGAGAATCAAATTCAGTCAAAACCTTGCTCCCCTTATTTTTTATCTTGCCATGGAGCACAGCTATGCCACCAAGGAACGTTTTAGTGCCAAAGCCTTGTCACTAAGCAAAAAGCTTAAATAACTAGACTGTCAGTGGCTGTGTCACCTACCCTTGGAGAAAAGGTCCATGTCTGAGGGGTTTTAGGCAGCCACGTAGCTCTCACTGTGTGAATGTTACTCAGCACCTAAAGCATGACAGTGGGGATAAAAGCTGAGGCAAGTTTTTCTGGAAAGCTCTGCTGGCTTAAGGAAATGCAGTGTTATCCCAGATTAATCCAATGCTGCACACAACAAAGGCAACTGGAAGAGAACTGCTGCATCGTCAGCATGAGATGTTGTTACAAAAAACTGCTCTACACACATGTGCAAAGGAACAGAGGATCAAGGGCAGGTGGGGCAATCTGACCCTGACCCAACTATTCCCAGGCCCATCACAAGAGACAGGCGAGCCCAGAAAACACTCATCTCCAGAAACACAAAAGGAGCCAAGAGGCACAATGGCAGGTGGGGGAACTAAAATTATGGGCTCTGAGAAACGGAGCTCCCACCCCAGCCCTTCCCAGGGCCACGCAGCACAGCCCTCAGCCCCAGGGCAGGGTGTGGCTCCTGTCACTGTGAGTCAGGAGCAGCTCCCTGAATCACCTCACAGACTGCCCAGGGGTATGAGACATGGGTGTGCAGGGGAAGGGCATTTTCAGCCTGCACCTGACTTACTACAGGGTGAAAGTAGTAAGGGGGCAGAAACCAAAGGCAGAAGAAGGGAGGGATGAAAGTGCTTGGTGGAGTAACAAGGGTGGGAAACAGAGGAGAAGTGTGCATGTCTGGCCATGCCTGATGCCTCTCAATGCAGTCTGTCCTGTTTTCTCATTAAACCCCATTTGGAACTATTTCTGGGTGAATGGGCTCAAGCCAGACTGAGAGTAAGTTAAGTGATTTGTGGCGCAGGCTGTGTGTGCCTCTCTGAGACAACTGGAGGAGATGGCTACCAGAGGGAGCAGAACTTGAAAGATCCTGCAAGTTCCAAACCACCTCAAGTGATTTTTGACTGGCAAACACCTTCCTCACCCGACTGCCGTCGAACAGGCAGAGTCGGACGTGCCTGCTGAGGACTTGCACACCTGCTCCTGGGAGAGGGATCATTTTGCAGCCACATAAGGTCACAATCAGGGACACTCGAGTCGGTCTGGGGTAGATCTGAAATACAACAGAAGGATTAAGCCTACAGGGCCCTCCTGCACAGGGTCTCATTTGTGTTTAGTTACTGAAGGGATTTGGTGTTCATTACTTGGATTCTCCTAACCACAAAGCTTCTGGAGTGTTAGCAGAAGAATTTCTTCATAAGCCTTTAGTTCTCTCCTAAGGAGATTGCTACAAATATTTTAGTGGGACAGACAGAAAGTTCTAGCAGAAGAAATATTCTAAAAAGGTGCAAATTAAGACATAATAATTAGCAAAAATGAAAGAAGACAAATTAAATCTGTGATTTCACAGTGTCCATCAGAACTTCATGGTATAAACCTTCAGACTAGTCACCCACTGTTTCACCCCAGACAGGAAAGGAATCCACGAACTTAAATGACTCTTAAAATAAGATTCCCAACATGACAATTTGTACTGATTTTTTGCCTATTGGAGAGTAGGATGTGCTAACATCTACTGCCTAAAGAGTCTGGATTGACATGGAAACCTGCCATGTTCACCCACCAATGTGAAATCCTGCCAGCAATTCACAACTAGACATCCTGTCACTTCCCAAAGCCAAAGGCATCAGAACTTCCTTACCAGTGATACTCACAGTGCTTTTTTCAGGGTCCCACACCAAGTCTTTGAAAGCCAACTGGGATGGAGTAAGCTCAGGCTGCAAATAGTAACTTGCTCGAAACTCATCACCTACAACAAGAGCAATTTTAAAAATTCATTTTTTAAAGGGTCTTTATTGCCACAAAATGAACAACATCCAAAGTTCAGGTCCAACTGAGTATTTGACCAAACAAAACTATGGAGGCATCTCCCAGAAGCTCTATTTTTAAGTATTCTTCAGTATTTCATCCCAGAAGCACAATAATTTAATTAACAAAAAGAGCTGAAACAGTTTTAAACACAAAGAACAGCAAAACATGAGATGTCTAATCTATTTGGTGAAGAGTCTCCAAATGATCTCTGAGAAAAATGGATAGGAAAGGAAGGCTCTTCCAAATGGGAAAATCTTTTGAAATCATGAGGGAATTTGTCAGGATTTCACACAGATGAATTAAAATTTAATTGAAGGGGAAAAAGAAGCCTTTTATACATTATTTGATGGGTCAAATGTAACCAATTAATTATAATTAAGCAATACTGATTGCAGTCCAACAGGCTGGAGAAACTCACCACAGACACCAGGAAGGCTCTTCCAAATGGGAAAATCTTTTGAAATCATGAGGGAATTTGTCAGGATTTCACACAGATGAATTAAAATTTAATTGAAGGGGAAAAAGAAGCCTTTTATACATTATTTGATGGGTCAAATGTAACCAATTAATTATAATTAAGCAATACTGATTGCAGTCCAACAGGCTGGAGAAACTCACCACAGACACCTGAGAATCCTCACTGCAACCATTAGGAGAAATCCTTACCTTCCTCTAAGAGCTGGAAAAGCATGGATGGGCGGAATCCTGCAGGAACTGCTCCACTGGTGGTCAGTACCTCCACTGTGTCATTCTATTAGAAAGAAAAACAAAAAGGACAATAGTATTCCTGGTGTTTACACCTAATTCCATCCTAATTTAGAAGCAGCGACTTGAGGCATCAGTCACCTCATCTGCAGGTGAGCTTTTCTGTGGAATTTCTTGCTACCAAACAAACCTCAAAGTAGGTATTTTAATTAAAAATAATGGTCTGCAATATGAGACACGGTGTTTGGTGAAAGGCATAACCTGTCTACAAAATAATTAACATGGTGACAGGTGTAAGAGGTAGCACCTACCTCTGTGATGGCTCGTACAGCACTCCAGTGAGAATCTGTTCTGGAAGAAAAATGGGGTTTTATAATATATCCTTGGGTGGACAAAAATTTAAGCAGTAAATATTGGTCTGGTTTCAAAGAGTAACAGCTTCATAACCATATCTGAGATACTAATAATGACATATTCCAGCCACTAAGGCTAATTGCCACACTCTCCCACAAGCCCCAGTGAGGTAAGAAATGTACTGCCAGGTTTAAGGAGGAGGAGAATAATTTTATACTTATTTCATTTCACATTACTTCATTTACCTTCTTTTAATTTCAGTTCCATCTGCTGTTTCATCCACCACTTCTATGTGTTCCTCCCCTTCCTCCTGGCTTTCTTCCTCTTTATTATGAACCTGTAATTCAGATTCAAAATGGCAAAGTGCTTGATTTCTTCCCAGTTCTGGCCCTAGAAATGCCTTCTCCAACCACAGCCCACGTTAATAGTTTAGAAAAGGAGATTTCCTGTCTGGCATGTATCACTGCAGGATGCTGTCCAACATTTACATGAACTCACATCTCAAATAAACTATTAAACGCCCAAATTAATTCACAGCAGCTTCAGAGTTGACTTTTAGTGACAAAGATTATGAATTTTATATTCAAGAAACTTCCTATGTCACATCTTCACAAAGCACAAAAATGCTGTTTGGCTTGGTATCTCCATCCACATGGATACAAACATCACGTGTCCCCACATTAGCATTGTGATTAATTTTATGCAGCTCTATAAAAGAACAGAGGTGAGACTAGGACAAAGATTGCAGCACACCAACCGTGAGGTAGGTCCTGGGAACAAGGCCTCTCTCCCCTTTGGAGTTTTCAGCTACCCACCAGCCATCTGCCTTCTTGTCACATATGAGCAGGACTTCTCCTTTCTTTGTCATTAGGAGAGAGGGAAAAAAAAAATCAAATATTTACATGACAAACCCTCAAAGTCATCATTTTTCCTACCACAGAGATCACAGCCAGCCACGACACGCTGCCACGATAGGAGGTGGCAAAAGGACACTGCACTCCAAGGGAAACACCATTTCACCCCAAATCCCACAAGGAACTGGCTGAATCCCAAGATCTGCAGTTAAAAAAAAGCCTTTCCAGAGAGATATTTACCACAAATGTGAGATCCCCTTCCTCCTGTGCATCAAAGTTTCCCACAGCAACACATTCCTTAACATTTGGGTCATCCAACAGCTTTTCCTCGTCATCATCTTCACTGTCTTCCTCCTCACTGCCTTCATCTTCACTCTCCTCCTCTTCTTCATTTTCGTCTTCTGCTTGAGGACCTTTCTGATGTCCCTTATCCCTACCCAAAACAAATGACATTTTTTTATTACCATTTTAACAAAACCTTTTGGAATTGCTGTCAAGCCCTGCAATCTGGGATTCTCTGCAAGGACATTATCCAGACACAGCATTTTCTGTCCTGTGTTTTACTCTCTGTCCTGAAGAAACTCCAAAATCTCAACGGTGTTCACCCAACAGTGACCACGTTGACCCTCTCTTCCATACATTACATTCCAGCCATTATCCAACACACCCAGATAAGTCATAAATGACTTATCACATGAGCACTTCTTTTTTTATACTTGCTGTATTTTTTTCAGATAATAAAAGAGATGAACTAACAACTTTTCAGGGTCCTTTCCAATCATTCCATACCAACACAGATTGCACTTGTGCGTTTAAGCTACTTACACTGTATAATCTGTTGTCACAAAATCCTGATCCAAGAAAAGGATGAGCTTCTGGAGCTGTTGGGAGAGTTTTAGCAACAGCTTTTCCTCTTCCTCCTTCCTCTGACTATAATTCCCCACTGGTGCAGGCTCATCAGCCTAACAAAGAACACAACAAATAGCTCAAGGAACCAAAGTTTCCCAATAAATTGCTCAAAGACTCAAAGTTCCCCTATAAATTTAGTTTTCCACACATGCCTTACAAGCTTTCCCCTCCCTGGGCTGCTGTCACTCCCTCTTTGGTGACATCCTTCTTGCCCTTTCACTGTGCCAAGGTGAAATTCCATGTTAAATTTCAAGTCTTGCATTGGGTTAATAAACATTTTATCATGTATTGGGTTGATAAGAGATCAGCATAGAACTTGGACACAATAAAGCATTACAATGAGTTTTTAAATAATAAATGGATATAAAAATTATAAATTGGAGAGATTCCAAGCAGGGACTGTGCAGTGCTGGGCACTGCCCTTGTCCTGAGGCATCCAAAATGGAAGGCTGGTGTGATTTAACTGCTTTCCATGATTAATTTTGGAGAAAACCATGAAGAAATTCATCTCCATACTTACCTTTTTCAAAGCATGGAGAGCACTTGTATTCTCCTCCACCAACTCCTTTAGCTGCACACATCTGCATTGAGAACAAGACAGACAGGTGGTGTTTTCTTCAGATTCTGCCCCAAACCTGCATGCTTGCAAACCTGTCAGTTTAGGCGCTCCATGTCCAGGCAGCTTAACAACTCCAAGCCCAAACGGCAGCTTGGCTGATTGTTACCTGCAATGTGCAACCTCCCACTGGCACTTCCTCAGCCCTGGAGGGCAGGGAAGCAGCCAGACTGGAAAACAGGAGTGAGAAGAAGCAGTGAGAGATCTGTACAGTTAGGAGAGGAAAGGAAAGGCCTAGAGGGAACTCTTTGCTCTTTCTGATGCAGAGTGATGAGGATGGAGTGGATCTGCAGAGGATTCACTCAGAGCAGCCAGGAGATGGTTCTTCCCACACAAGGAGCTAAACTGGGCAACTCCTGGGCAGAGAATGCTACTCAGAATAAGAGAGGGAAGGCTGAGAACAGGGACTGGATGGTGGGGCTGAGAGCTGGGCTTGGACTCGGGTGAGGGCTGCGGTTAGCTCGGGGTTAGGGCTGGGGATGGGATTGAGGTTAGGGCTGGGGTTAGGGATGGAACTAGGGCTGGGGCTAGGGTTAGGTCTGCGGTTAGGGATAGGATTCGGGTTAGGTCTGGGGTTAGGGATAGGATTGGGGTTAGGGCTAGGGTTAGGGATAGGATTCGGGTTAGGTC